TTTTGGCTATGGTGAATAATGCTGCTATAAACATGGGTATACAAATATCTGTTCAAGTCCCTGTTTCTACTTTTTAGGGGTAAATATCCAGAAGTGGGATTGCTGGATCATATGGTAATTCTATATGTAACTTTTTGAGGAAACTTCAAACTGTTTTCCACAGCTGCTGAACCATTTACATTCCCACCAGCAACACATAAGTGTTCCAATTTCTCCATATCCTCACCAACACTTGTGATTTTGTTTTGAGTGTGTGTTTTTTAATAATAGCCATTCTATTATGAATGAATTGAATTCATAGAATTCATTCCATATGAGTGAAGTGGTCTCATTGCGTTTTTGAAATGCATTGCCCCAGTGACTAGTGATGTGGAATGTCTTTTCATATGCTTATAGGCCATTTGTATGTCTTCTTTAGAGAAATGTCTATTCAGGTCCTTCACCAAGTTTTAAATTGGATTTTTGTTGTTGCTGAGTTTCTAGAATCTTTCAGAGCTTTCTTACCTTTAGAAATTTTTGTGAGACTTGGAGGTGTGTTGATGATGTCATAGTCTCTGGGCTGGCTTTTGGCAGAATCCTTGTCTCTGTAGGATATAATAACCAGAGTTTCTCATTCAGTATTTCAGATTAATTAGTCAATCAAGTAATTCATTAATTGTATCATTATCCAAAGAGTCACTCTTTGATTATATCAGATTTCCAGGCTAATACAAAAGAGTACATGCTCATTTATTTATAAGAAGTTCAAGAATTGCCAAAGTTGACCTATGATCTAGAACTTAGAATAATAGTAGTTACCTCTGGGGAGCAAGTATTGACTGGGGTGGGGGACAAATTCTGGGTTGATAATTCCCTAACTTGATCTAGGTGGTGGTAACACAGGAACGTAGGTAAAAGTTATTAGGTATACATGTAAAATGTTTGCATTTTCTTGTATCTAAATTATACCTTGCTTTTTAAAAGTTAAAAGAAAAAAATTTTTGAATATATTTCTCAGGCTGTTGTAAATCCTTTTGGTGTTAACTTTATGGGCTCAAGTGTCTGAGGTGCCCCTTTGGCCACCTGTGGTTCATTTTATTTTTCTCTGCCCCTCTGGGCCCAGCACCAGCACAGTACTCAGGATTCACACACAGCAAATATTTATTGAAGGCTTCCTCTGTGTCAGGCACTGTGC